TCTCTCTCTCTCTCTCTCTCTCTCTCTCTCTCTCTCTCTCTCTCTCTTTCTCCTTCCCCCACTCGTGCACACACACACACACTCTCTCAAAATAAGTAAATAAATATATTTCTAAAAGTGAATAAATCCATGTAATTGTCACTTTAGAGGAGAAATAGAAAACAGACCATTACCAGCACTCCAGAAAGATCCTCAGTTCTCTTCCCAGTCACTCCTCGCTGCCTGCAAGAAACACTGTCCTGACTTGGAATGCAATGGAAGAGTTTCCCCTGCTTAAAAATTTTATTTTTATGATCATACGATATACTTTTTTGTTTTTTTTTTCACGCAAGACCACGTGACTTTCCTCCAAGTCCTTGTGTGCGCATTGCTTTGTTTATTCTCAGTGCTTCATGGAATGACATTATGTGAATATACCACAATCTGGATTCTGTTTTTGGATATTTGAATCATTTCCGGTTAGATGTTACCGTGAATAATGCCGCCCTGAGTATTCTCTTACATGTCTTTTGGTGCATACACGTATACGTTTTTGTTGGCTATATTCTTTACATCCACTATTTAGCCTAGACTTTCCCAAAAGCAGAGACCTAGGCTTGGATACAGGCAATTTTTGTGTGAATTGATCCCAAGAAACAAGAGTGAGGAACAAGGAATGAAAGAGATGTGGAAAAGCCTATATGAGCAGAAGTCGGAGAGTTGGCCGCTGTTATGGCTGGTGCTCAACCTCACCGCACCTTCAGAGGGGCCTTATGGAATAAATCTCAGAACTGTCTGCCTGAGGAATGCAAAACATTTGTCCGTCAACTTCCCAACCCTCCCCTGGTTAGGGGTGGCTGCATGGGTATTGACTCCATGGATTTCTGGGTAACGTATGCACAAGTTCCAAGTGTGAGCTCATAGGCACCCAGCGCCATCGTGTCCGGGCCAGGAAGAACAAGGCTCAGCATTGTCAGGTTGCTTCTGTGGGAAGCCGGTCTGTGCCAGGATGAAACTGGAGTTAAGGTGTGGGCCGAGTGGATTTGAGACACAGGGGATGTCTAATACGGCCACACGTATACGGATTCTTCGTTTTAACCAAGGTCATCAATTCTGTTCATCTGTTTTTTTCTATCCTTGTGTCAACACCATACTGAATAATTACAACTTTATGATGGTTCTTGACATCTGGTAGAGTAAGTGCTATCATTTTATCTTTCTTCAAAATTGTCTTGGTCCTTTGCATTTATTTTTTTTTTTAATTTTTATTTATTTTGGGGGGGGGGTTGGGGAGAGAGAGAGAATGCCACCCAGGCTCTGTGCTGTCAGCACAGAGACCAATGTGGAGCTCGATCCCACAAACCTCAAGATCGTGACCACAGCTGAAGTCAAGAGTCGGGTGCTCAACCAACTGAGCCACCCAGGTGCCCTGGCCCTTTACCTTTCTGCATAAATTTGAGTCGGTTAATACAATTCATAAAAATTAAATAAAACTCAGTTGGAATTGTTTGGATGCAGTGACCAATTTGAGGAGAATTGACGATCTTTACAATATTGAATCTTTCAACCCAAAATCATGCACAGCCTTCTACTATTTTGGTCTTTCTCAATTCCTTTCGATGCTATAATTTCCTGTGCAAAAATCTGCATGTATTTTGTTAGGCTTATCCTGAGATAGTTCATGCTTGTTGATATCAGTATAAATGATACCAGTTTTAAATTTTCATTTTCTGTTGATATATAAAAATACACTTGATCTTTATATATTGACCATATAGCAAGCAATTTCATTAAGCTTCTGGTTTGTCTGACTCCTTTGGATTTTCTGTGTATGTAATCTTGTCATCTGTGGGTGTGACAGTTTTATTATTTTTCGATTGTAATATGATTTCTTTTTCTTGCCTTACTGAGTTGCTAGCACCTCCAATGCAATGTTAAATAAAAGTGGTGATAGTGGACAGCCTTGTCTTGTTCCAGATTTTAGAAGAAAAGCATTGAGTATTTCACTATTCAGTCTATTAGTTGTATATTTACATAATTATGATATGATTCAGTATGATGTTAGCTGTAGGCCTGTGGCAAATATATCAGCTTGAAGTTCTCTTACAAATTTGTGGGGTTTTTTAATAATAAATTGATGTTAAATTTTGGCAAATGCTTTTTCCGCATTTATTAACATGATTTTGTTTTCCTTCTTATCAAGATAGAGGTTAACATTGATTTTCAAATATCAAAACTAATGTTGCACTTCTGGGATAAACTTTGCTTGTTAATGTGTATTATCCTTTTGAAATACTCAGAACTGCCAAACTCAATTAGGTATTTTGTTAAAGAATTTTTGCTCATAGGCAAATTGGTCTGTGGTTTTCTTTTAACATCCTTGTCAGATTTGGGTACCAGTGTCATACTGGTCTCATAAAACTAGTTTGGATATGTTTCTTCTTGCTCTATTTCCTGTAAGAGTTTGTGTAAAATAATTTCCTCCTTAAATGTGTGATAGAACTGGGGCGCCTGGGTGGCTCAGTTGGTTAAGCGCCTAAACTTGATTTCAGCTCATGATCTCATAGCTTCCTGAGTTCAAGCCCCATATCGGGCTCCATGCTAACAGCACAGAGCCTGCTTGGGATTCTTTCTCCCTCTGTCTGTGCCCCTCCCCTACTCCCCTGAGTGCATGGGTGCTGTGTGAATGAATGAATGAATTAATGAATGAATGAATGAATGATTTTTTAAGAAATGTGTGATAGAACTAATCAGGGAAACCACCTGGACTTGGGAGTTTTCTTTGTGGGGATGTTTTCGATAAGAAATTAATTTTTGTGATAGACATAAGGTTATTAAGATTTTCTGTTTGATTTTGTATCAGTTTTAGTTGTATTTTTCAAGGAATTGGTTCATTTTATCAAAATTGACAAACTTAATGGCACATTTCCTTGATATCCTTTTGAAATAAGTAGGATCTAGAAGTGATGGCCCCTCTTTTATTACTGATATTACTAATTTGTGCTACCTCCCTTTTATTTCAGTCAATCTTGTTAGGGCCTTGTCAGCTTTACCATTTAAAATTCCAAAATTTAGCTTTATTATTTGTCTTTTCTATTTCATTAATTCTGATTTTATATTTATTCTTTTTTTCCACTCACTTTGAATTATTTTCCTCATCTTACTAGCCTCCTACAGTGGAAGCTTAAATCATTAATTTTGAACCTTTCTTCCTCTCAAAGACAAGCATTCAAAGTTAGAAATGTCTATCTAAGTGCTGCGTTAGCTACATTCTACAGAGTTTGGTATGCTATTTAGAAGTGCATTGTTTAATATTCAAGGCTTCTCTGGATCTCATTGTTACTGAATCTATAAATCCATTGTGGTCA